ATAGCATAATAGCATGTTGTGGTATTTCTATACATGCATACATTATACTTTGATCTAATTCACTCATTTTATGATTTCTTACCCTCATCTGCCTTCTTCCTCTTGTTTTTTGAAAGTTTTTGTTGTTTTTTCAGAAAGTACTGAGGGTTGAATTTAAGGCATGGTGTCTGCTAGGCAGGATTTCCACCCATGAGCTATGATTTCACTTATTTTTGTGCCACTAGAGATATTTTTATTTCCGAGATATGGTCTCACTTCTTGTCCAGATATACACCCACATTTAGGCCACACTCTGCCTGTTTACATATTTTAGGCTTTCCATAGTAGCTAGGATGACAGGCGTGTGCTACTACTCATATTTCCTCTACTGAGATGAAGTCTGGTGGTCTTTTTGCACAGGCTAGCCCAATCCTACAGTCCTCCCATGGAGCTAGAATGATAGGTATGCATGACAGCACTCAGCTATTGATAAAGAAGGGAAATTGTGAACTTTTCTGCCCGGGCTGGCCTTGATGTTCCAGAGGCAGCTAAGGGAGTTTAACCCTTTGGGTATTAGATATTTATTATTGGGGTTCATATATAAATACATTAAAAAGAATGAAAAATGAAACTACCTCACACCATATGCATAAATTAACTAAAAATAGATTATAGACCTAAATGTCAGTGTAAATACTTTAACACTTAGAAACCATAGGAGTAAATCTTTGTGACATTACATTAGATAATTTCTTAGATATTACAGCAAAAGTACAAGTGACAAAAGAAGGGAGGAAAACCAAAAACCACAAGAACAAATGGAACAAATAAGAAAAAAACCAGCAAACCCAACTATATCACTAAATACACTAAATTAAAATGTACTATACATGCTAATTAAAAGGTGAAGATTTTTCAAGCCCAAGTATATGCTAAATTGAAGAAACATGCTTTTTAACTATAAGAACTTAGATAGGCTAAAAACAGAAGATTGAAAAAAATCTTAAGAAAATTGGAATCGGTTTTATATTGAACAATATAGACTATTCAGAAAATTTTTTTTAAAAGTACTAGAAGTAAAGAGGATAGTTAATAAACACCAAAACTTAATTCATCAAGAAAGTACTGTTTAAACAAAAACATAAGGCAGGATTTGATAACTAAAAAGGAAAAGGACAAATCCACATTAATAGCTAGAAGCTCTACTCTCTCAGATGGAAATTAAGTATATAGTATATATATAGAGAGAGACTTGAAACATGACAAATAATTTGATGTGACTGAAGTTTAATGGGAACTCATTTATGGAAACTCTAGTCTTAAGAATTGATAGAAGTGAATGAAACATTTTTAAAAAATGACTTGAAAGTTGACAAAGAATTTGACCTAATGGAAGTTATAGGAATTTCAGTTAATAACACTGCCAACACGCATGCACACACATTCTTTTAATGTGTGTTTGGAATATATGGTGCATTGCAATATAAATACTGTTAAATTTTAAAACACTGAAAGAACTACTGAGTTATTGTGTATTTATTCTTTATTAAATTAGAAATCAATGACCAAATAGCTGAAGAATTCCCAACTGTATTACTTCTGTGAACATTTAAAATTCTATTTATCAAAACAAATTCCAGGAAATGAAAACATAGTTTTTTTAGTTATTGTTAAAAAATAATAGCTGGGGTTGGGAATGTGGCTTAATGGTAGAGTGCTTGCCTCACATGCATGAAGCCCTGAGTTCGATCCCTCAGTACCACAAAAACAGAAAAAGCCAGAAGTGGCTTTGTGGCTCAAATGGTAGAGTGCTAGCCTTGAGCAAAAGAAGCTCAGGGACAGCACCCAGGCCCTGAGTTCAAGCCCCAGGACTGGAGGAAAAAAAAGCCAGTTGTGGGTGGCTTGCACCTGTAATCTTAGTTACTCAGAAGGCTGAGATCTGAGGATTGAAGTTCAAAGCCAGCCAGAGCAGGAAAGTTCCTGAGACTCTTTTTTTTTTTTTTTTTTTGCGGGGGGGGGGGGGGGCCGGTCGTGGGGCCTGAACTCAGGGCCTGGGCGCTGGCCCTCAGCTCTTCAGCTCAAGGCTAGCACTCTACCACTTGAGCCACAGCACCATTTCCAGCTTTTTTCTTTTTGCTTATGTGGTGCCGAGGAATCGAACCCAGGGCCTCATGCATGCAAGGCAAGCGCTCTACCACTGAGCTACCTTCCCAGCCCCATGAGACTCTTTTCTCTAATTAACCACCAGAAAACTGGAAGTGCTGCTATGGCTCAAAGTGGTAGAAAGAGAGCTCAGAGTCAACACCTAAGTCCTGGGTTCAAACCCCAGGACCAACAAAAATAATAACAGTAACAATAAGCCACAAGTAAAAGAAGAGATGAGACATTAGAAAACATCTGGTACTGGATAAAAATGAAATAATTACATATTAAGCTTGTGTGCAAAAGCTGGGCACTGGTGGCTCATGCCTATAACCCTAGTTACTTAAGTTGCTGAGATCTGAGGATGGTGGTTCAAAGCCAACTTGGGCAGGCAAGTCTATGAGACTCTCATCTCCAATAAACTACTCAGAGCTGGAAGTGGCACTGTAGGTCAAGTGAAGAATGCTAGCCTTGATTAAAAGAAGCTCAGGAACAACACCCAGGCCCAGAGTTCAAGCCCCAGGACTGGCAAAAAATGATAACAACAAACAAACTTGTATGCAGCCAAAGAAGTGATTAGAGGGAAATTCATAGCTTTATCCATTTAATCTCCAACTTCATTAACATGGCTAACTAACAGAAGTCAATGCCCTTTATCATGGAGATAAACATACACACATACCCCAGGACTTCTGAGAAGCTGAAATTAAAGATCAAATGAGAGTCTATTTATGCTTCTATTCGAAATTGGGGGATATGTTGTAACAAAAACCCAAGGAAGCTTATTCACCATCATGTTTCTTAGTGGCTGTAGGGTCAGGTATTTTTTTTTCACATTGTTTTTCTTTCTGTTTTTTTCCCTTTTCTTTGTGGTACTTGGGAGTTGGATCCAGGGCCTCAGGCATGACAAAAAGTGCTCAACCATGAGCCACATCCGGAACCCTTTTCACTTTGGAAGTGGTACCTGGATGTGCATGCCCCAGTTCACTCTAAATTTCCCTGAGGTATAATTTTTGGGGGGTGGCATTTATTTCCTACTGTCTTTATGCATATATCTTACTAAATGTGTGTATGTACACTCCTGTTCATCAGAACCAATAAACATTATACTATCATAACAATGGACTAGAGCAATAAGACATTGAATGGAGAAGCAGTCAAGATTTCTACAGCTTCTGGATACTGGTGCCTCATGCTTGTAATCCTAGCTACACAGGAAGGTGAAATCTGATAATCATGGTTTGAAGCCAGCCCAGGCAGGAAAAGTCTGAGGAAACATCTCTAATTAACCATCCCCAAACCAGAAGTGGATCTACAGCTCAAAGTGGTAAAGTGCTAGCCTTGAGCTAAAAAGGTACAGGGACAGCACCGAGGCTCAGAGTTTAAGCCCCAGGATCAACCAAAACAAAGAGGGACTGGGAATGTGGCTAAGTGGTAGAGTGCTTGCCTTGCATGCATGAAGCCCTGGATTCGATTCCTTACTACCACATAAACAGAAAAACCCAGAAGTGGTGCTATGGCTCAAATGGTAAGGTGCTAGCCTTGAGCACAGAGAGGCTCAAGAACAGAGGCCAGGCCCTGAGTTCAAGGCCAGAACTGGCAAAAAAAAAAAAAAAAGATTTCTGCAGTCTACATTATGACACAAAGTCAAAATGATGAGACAGGCCTGAGGTAATACAGTGAATATCACTGTATTGTTATTCCTGCTTGCTGAAGGCCACCCCAGCTGGGTCTTCACAATTAGAGATAGTGAACACTTCCATCACACCAGTAGCTATGCATTAACAATAAAGCAGCATCTGCAGTTCCCCTAATCAAGTTCATGATATAAATCAGCAGCTTTTCTCCAGTATCCATCTATGTTCTATATGAGCCTAAATTGAATAAAGTTTGTATCTACTTGGTCATCTCAAACCTTTCAGTTGTCTATAGTTGGTAATTTGTGTGTGTGTGTGTGTGTGTGTGTGTGTGTGTGTGTGTGTGTACACAAGGCCTGGGTGCTGTCTCTGAGCGTTTTTTGCTCAAGATGTGTAGCACCCTAATACTTGACTCAGTTTCACTAATGGCTTTTTGGTGGTTACTTGGAGATAAGAATCTCTTAGGCTTTTCTGCCTGGACCGACTTGGAACCAAGATCCTTCCAACAGGTCTCCCCAGATCTGAGCCTTCTAAGTATCTAGCAATGGCCTGCCAGAGCCCAGCTTACAGGGGATAACTGCAGTGCTTATCGCTGCATGCTTGACTGCTAGTGTTCCAATTTGTAATGACACGTTATTAATACCTCAAATATCAGGACTTCTTGTGCCTTTCAAGATAGAATCACTCCACTACAGCCTATATATCTCACTGACTGCTATAGTTCGGATCTAAGTGTTCCCCACACAGGAAAAGATTGCGCCCAGGATAGGTATTATTGGCAGATGGTCCAGATTTTAAAAGCCTGATGATTGACAAAGAAGGGGAAGAAACGGCTGTTGTGAACGCCGGAAAGCGCTTCTTCATAGTTAAGTAATAAAGAGCCCTGGATGCCTCTCCCGAGCGTGGTTAGTGCAAAGCAGGGGAGTGGGTTGGCAGGACCCTGTGCATCTGGACACCCCTTTGCGCCCCAAGCACGTTTGCACACGGATGTTTGTTTTTGCTCACAGGAAGCCGTGCTTGGCACCTGCATACACGATCTGCAACTATCAACACTCGCGCACGAGCAACACGTTTACACGCATCCCGCATACACGCACACTGACAGTGGAGGCGAAGCGGGACGGAGGGAGAGCGCCAGGAGCTGGCCGCTGCCCGGCCCCCGCCCCCCCTGGACGGCGGGAACTACAACTCCCGGCGCGCGCCACCTCCGGGCCGGCCCCGCCCAGGGGCGGCTCGGCCGGGCCGCGTCGCCGCTCAGGTCCCTGCACCCGGAGTCGCCGAGAGCCGGCCGGCGACCCGCATGGAGCCCCGCGCGGCGGACGGTTACTTCTTGGGCGACGTGGGTACGTGCGAGGCCGGCGGAGGGAGCGGGGCCGGGGCCCGGCGGCTCCCGGGGACGCACGCAGCTCCTCGGGTGGCTTGGGTCCCCGAGCTCGCGGCTGGTCGGTGCCCTGGGGCGGTTGGGTGGGTGGATGGGCGGCGACCCCGGGGTCCCGAGCCCCGTCCCCAGCGGCTCGCGTCCCGGCCGGCCGGCGGGCTCGGTCATCCGAGTGACGCCCCGCGCGCGGGGGGGTTGGCGCGGTAGAGCCATCCGAGCGGGCGCCGCGCACCCTGCGGGAGATGCGGGGCGCGTGCCCAGTCCGCCGGACGCGCGGGCCGGGCAGTCCCCGCACCTCTCCCGGGGCGCCTGCTGCTGTCAGGTCAGCCGGTGTGCAAGTCACCCGCAATCCCACGGAGGTGGCCCCGGAGTCCGCCCTGGAGTGAGGACACCGGGGCACACTCGATGGCCCTGGGGTGAGGGGAGGGCGGGCAGGAGGTCGCTGGGTGCATCGCGCCGGCTGCGATCCCCAGAACCCCCTTCCCGCGCCCCCCACGTCCTTTCAGCTTACAAGGCCGTCTCCCTTGGCTTTTGGGCAGCCCACGAACACAGTGGATCCGAGGGTAAACCGACACTCTTTCCGTGTTTAATAAGACAAAATGAATTGAACTGCAAAAGTACCCAGAAAGCTAGGAACTGAAGGTAGGTGTGTGTGTGTGTGTGTGTTTCACACATGCGAATAAAAATGAAAGACCTAAGTTAGGGGCTTAATTGAAGGGAGCAATGGCCCTCAGAACGTGGCAGAGATATTTCAGATGATTTTGCACACCACCTGCAAATGATCAAAGGCATTTAATAAGTCTTCCTTGGCCTTCCACTGCGGGCGGCACGGACTTTGACCCTGACTGTGTGATCTGTGTGTGATCGCTTCAGGAGAACATGCCGTGAATAGCTAATCTGTGAAACCCGAGGAGGCACCCATTTTATTTTGCTCAGGTAGAGTTCAATAGCATGACATAAGCTCTGAGTGTATTTTCTGGAGACATAAAGCAGGTTCTAAACTAATGGATGCACAACTTTAGGGGCTTGTGGGTATTTTTGACATTGCCATTTTTAAGAATTCAATACGTTTCTTTTAAAAGTATGTTCTGCTGACATTTCCAAACCTAATGGTGTTCAAAACAATATTAGTGGAAGTGGATGCTTCACTCATTTTAACGTTCTGATTGATCTCTCCTATTTTTGTGACGTAGAATGCCTCACAGAGGCATTGCAGAATCTTAGGAGCTTTTTTTTTTTTTTTTTTTTGGGTCCGGTCGTGGGGCCTGAACTCTGGGCCTGAGCTCTGTCCCTCAGCTCTTCAGCTCAAGGCTAGGGCTCTACCACTTGAGCCACAGCCCCACTTCCGGCTTTTCTTTTCTGCTTATGTGGTGCTGAGGAATCGAACCCAGGGCCTCATGCATGCAAGGCCAGCGGGCTACCACTGAGCCACCTTCCCAGCCCCCTTAGGAGCTTTTTACTCAGTACATAGAATTTAAGAGTCACATGTCTTCTCTGGCTCCCCACGTATTCTTGAACTTGCAGAACTTTGTCTCTATACTCTCTTGGTTTTTGTTTTATTTACATGGATTTATTCTCTCCTTACTCTTCATTTGATGAGGTCTTTGGGAGAAGGGACTAAGAAGATTCCCATTTCTAAATGGAAATGTCCTCAACTCTGTCATTCCTTTACTTCTCTGTGTGTGTGTGTGTGTGTGTGTGTGTGTGTGTGTGTGTGTGTGTGTGTGTGTGTGTGGAAATCCAAAATAAGGCAGTACCCCAGGGCATCTTTTAAAGGGTAGAGCGATACTTACAGTAGGAAACTTATCCTAAAGTAAGAATTCAAAAAGACATTGTTCACAAACCAGAAAAGTCTTAGGTCTAAGAAGAGAATCAAAGGAAACAGTAAGTTATAAATGCTGATCACTTATAGGCGAAACATCTTATTTTCTCCCTCAAATGGCTGTAAGAGATGTTACCTCATATCATAAGAAAACTGAGGCATAGGGGATTTAAAATGAAATAGGTCCCTAAAGTTCTCATCAGAACTGGAGAAGACAAGCCAGGTGTAGTGATTCATGCTTGTAATTCCAGCACTTAGCAGGATGGGGCAGAAGGATGGAGAATTCAAGGCCAGCTGAGAAGGATGCCCTGTCTTACAAAACAGGAAGGAAGGAAGGAAGGAAGGACAATGATCAGGATACATTGTTGTTTAATGCGTGGAACTGTCAAAATGGAACACCCCCCCACCCCCAAGCTTGTACAACTAATGTATGCGAATAAAATTAAAAGAGAAAGAGGGAAAAGAAAGGACATATCATTCTGAGGCAAAGTCCAGGCTCACTGTGCTCTGTGGTTGGAGCTTGAGATGGAGGAGAGCCATGGGAAGGTGTAACAGATACTGGATGAGGACTGCGGAGGAATGGTAAGAGAGTAAGGCTCTTTATTGGATTTAACAAGCCCACTATTGAAAGAACACCCCCTACCCCCATCCTTAAGGCAACAGAATCTATTCTTAGTTTTCTCCACTTCTTAGGAGATTATTTGTAACTTCTTTTCTCTTTGTGTTTTGTTTTCAAATTTTGTTTCACTTTCCTTTTTCCTCACTCATACCAGGTTTTGTCTGGTTTGTCCCTTAAGGGAAGGCAAACATTTTTTTACTTCCATTCAATGTATTTTAAACCACCATGTGTCATTTGGCCCCAAGTTTACTGAACAGAATATTTTGGGGGCTTTCAAAAAAAAAGTTAAAAAGACATGGTTGAAAAATCTTTAAAGGAAGAAAACCAAACTATTAGGTGTTCCTAAAAATCAAAATAAACACACACACATATATGTATACACACACACACACACACACACACACACATACTCGGGAATTCAGGCAACTGCTAATTTCATCATCATGAAGTTCAGGAAACAGATGGGAGACATAGGAATGATCAATTTTTACTGTCCTTTTCTGAGAGTATCAATTATAAAGAATTTCTTTTTCTTTTATGGGCTGTCCTGGGATTTGGACCTCAGGGTCTCTGTTGCTAGACAGGTTTTCTTCCTTTTGAGCCACTCACACTCCCTGGCTGTTTTTGCCTTAGTTGTTTTTTGGATAAAGTCTGGCATTTTTGCCTGGGGTCAACCTCAGATTGTGATCCTTCCAGCCAAGCCTCCTGAGGAGCGAGCTGGATGCCTGGCAGGTCCAGCAATTGTAATGGATTTCTAAGGTCTTTTGCAGCTCTAGCATTCATTATTAGCATTCTGGGGGGGGGGGGGATAAGTCACTAGGACTCTGAGCTTTTCCACGAGAGAGAAAGGTGAGCCTCTTGAGAACCCTCAGAAAAACCCTCAGCTTCCCACTCCTGCTCATGGTTGTTCATAGTTCTTTTTCTGACAAATATGGCTGACCTTCTTCCTGTACTTACATTTATTGGTGGTGCATGTTGAGGGCTAGCTCTCTCATTCCAAGAGTGTTTATTGGGGTGCTTTTGGGAAAGAGCTTATTTTAGAGCCTGGAGATTGCTTTCAGTCCTCAGATGACATCTTCAGGGAGGACTTATCCCAAATTCCCTTTAATGACTTACTCAAAAGAAAGGAAGGAAGGAAGAAAGAAAGAAAGGAACGAAGGAAGGAAGGAAGAAAGAAAGAAAGACTCCCCAGCCTTCTGATATTTAGGAGTTCAAGAAAGAAAGAAAGAAAGACTCTCCGGCCCTCTGATATTTAGGAGTACATCATGGATCTTTGGCCCTGGTTCAAAGCCACACTGCTGGATCAGCTTTGTCCTTGGTGGATTTGAAAATACTCGTTGCTATAGTGGTTTCAGGAGGGTTTGCTCTGTTTTTCAGTGGGCACCGCCTGGGCTGGCCAGCTCCATTCTCCTGGCTCTCTGGGAGGTCAGCCAGGTCTGGGCTGAACAACCACTACTAGGGCTCAAAGAGCAGGACTCTGCCCCTGGAATGACTAAGTGGGATGCTGGTGAACTAGTGAACTCTGGAGATTAAAAAAAAAAAAAAAAAAGAGAAAATCGATTTGTTGCCCTTCTTGATATCAGTACATCAAGGCTGCCTATCTAGCAGAATTCCTGGTGATATAGCAGTGGGCTGTGTGGGGCTGGCTCAGGCACACCAAATACAAAGAATGTAGGTTCTGTCTCAGAGGCCCAGGAAATGAGCAGGTGAACTCATGAGGGAGTTGGGGGGAAGGGGAGAGAGGATCTAGTTACTAGGACTAGAGTACAGTATGTGTGTATGGGGAGGGGGAGGAAGGAGCTTGTTAAAGAACAAAGATCTGGCTCAGGAGCTCCAAATAGGACTCATAGAAATACTAATAGTAGCTGGGCACTGGTGGCTCATGCCTATAATCAATCCTAACTACTCAGGCTGAGATCTAGGGATCACAGTTTGAAGCGAGCCTGGGCAGACAAATCCAAGAGACTCTGATCTCCAAAATCAGCAAAAAGCTGGACATGAAGGTGCATCTCCAAGTATCAGTACCAGCCTTGAGTGAAATAGCCAAACAAAAGTATAAGGCCCTGAGTTCAAGCCACAATACTGGGCCCCCCAAAACAAGTACTAATAGGGTTAGTAATAATCTTGTAATAGTTACAGCATCTGTCAGTTACTACTTGGAATTGGCAAGGCACTATATAAAACAGTATCCAAGCATTAGTTCATTTAGTCTTCTCATTTTACAGGTTAGGAGACTGGAATTTTGTGTGGATGGATTGCTTAAAATGGCAGAGCTGTTTGTAGGTGACAGAGACAGGATCTGAACTCATGAGCTGAGTGACTTTGAGGCTGGTCTACCGTGTACATCAACTCCCTCAGGAAAGACTGATGCTGAGATCTATGCTGAGAACTCACACTAAAGCTTTTCAGGCTCGAGTCAGGTTTGGTCCTCGTCTGGGCCTGGCCTTCAGATGTGGTCTGGAAGGGGACACAAAAGGCCGAGAGGGCCGTGGGAATAGTGAACAAGAAAGGTCCATGCTGGTTTAGATACTGTGCTTGAAAGGTCCTGTGGGCAAAGGACTGGTATGAGGGTTTGCAGTTACCTGTCATTTCTTCTTGTGGTGACCTCAGCAGTTAGTTAGCAGTAGACATGTAGTTGATGTTCAGGAAGCCTTCTCATTCTGAGGCTAAAGTTTTTGCTTAGCCATCTCTTATTCAGGCATACAAGTAGCAAGTAAACACATGAAAGCACGCAAGTTTGGAAGAGGCAAGAACGGACTAGAGTCAGCTGCTAGTACTGAACCACCAATCACCAAACGCATTGCTATGCAGGGCTGCAGCCTTGGCTTTTGTTATAGCACCTATTTTCCTTTTAGTGGGTGTGTCCAGACTGTGTGGTCATAGCCTTGTCTGGCCTCTCAGGTCACTGTCTAGGACTAGGTAGACTTGTAAGAGGCTGAAAGATGAGTTCAGTCAGGGCAGGGACAGAGCCAGCTTCCGGGGTAGGAACTTCAGTCTGGTAAGCAGAAGTTGCTTACTTATTCATTCAGATCCCTGTGTGTCAGATCGATGCTGAAGATGGAGGATCCCAGGTGATTACCTTAGCAGAAAGGCTGAGAAGAATACAGATCAGCCATTGGTAGAGATAGGGTTTAAGAAAGGGCATGGGTGGGTAGACGGCATAATTGGAGGCTTCCTGAAAGAGCAGACATTCCACTCAGTCTTGGTTGAGGATGATTTAACTCACAGTTGACTCACTTGTGGGGGGGGGGGGTGGGGGAAGATAGAGCTGGGGGCTTGGGGAGGGGTATTCTAGGCCTGGGAAGGAACAATGCCTACAGAGCATTGAGGCATGAGACCAGATGATGGTCTGTGATCATATTGATGTCAGTATGGTGTCAAGGTGCGCTGGATGCCTTGCATGCAGAGTTTATCCTGAAGAATGGCTGGGGGATGTTGAGCTGGTCCCACTTGACCAGCTTGTTATTGAGTTGCATTAGGGGAAGGGGGATGGCGCTGGAGACAGTAGCCTAATTATGTGGCAAGGATTTAGGGGCAAAACTCTGGTCCCAGAGGAACTTACTAGAACAGTACACCATCTGCGCTTTCCAGAGGGCATGCTATCAGGGAGGCAGTGAGCACTAGAATTGGGGAGGGAAAACATCTGGTTAACAACTGGGGTCCAAGAACAAGGGATGAAAACAACCTGTATTCAGGCCTGGCCAGTCAGACTACAAAATGAGGGTGAGAGTGTACTCACTCTTCATGGATAGATTTGAAGTCATACCTTTGGGTTTTGCTCTCCGAGCACCCACCTTAAAGTGATATTTAGCCCTCTCAATTATACATAAGTTACTGTTTTGTTGTTGGTTTTTGTTGGTCCCGGGGCTTGAACTCAGGGCTTGGGCACTGTCCCTCAGCTTTTGTGCCCAAGGCTAGCACTCTACCACTTTGAGCTACAGCTCCACTTCTGGTTTTCTGGTGGTTAATTGGAGATAAGAGTCTCAGACTTTCCTGCCTGGGCTGGCTTTGAACTGTGATCTTCAGACCTCAGCCTCCTGAGAAGCTAGGATTACAGGCATGAGCTATTAGCTCCTGGCAGGTTATTGTTCTTTACCTAGGAGTGGCAAACTTCTTGAGACTGTACAGCAGTCAGAGGTGTGTGTATGTAGAACTGCAGGGGTCAGTGATGAGCTAGCTACAGGTGTACCTGCAGAGTCCAGCCTCTGTGTGGACAGTGGTGAGAGATGGAGTCCTGGATGTGAGCAGTTCCCATACATACCCAGCTGAGAAGTGTGGACTCCACCCTCTGGGCACTAGGGATTGCTAGTAGTGGGTTTTTAATAAGCGTGTTGGGACCAATTACACAAACACAGCTGGTGTCTTGAGTGTCATTCAGGGGCTCTGAAGTCTTACACATGTTCATTGGACCTGGGTGGAAGAGACAGTGTCTTAGCAGACAATGGTTTCCTCTCTAGGTTTCTGGGTGGAGCGTACCCCAGTGCATGAGGCTGCCCAGAGGGGTGAGAGCCTGCAGCTACAGCAGCTGATTGAGAGCGGCGCCTGCGTTAACCAGGTCACGGTGGACTCCATCACCCCCCTGCACGCGGCCAGTCTGCAGGGCCAGGCGCGGTGTGTCCAGCTGCTGCTGGCAGCTGGTGCTCAGGTGAGTGACCCTGGGGACCATCTCCTAACTTGGCTGGCAGCTGCGGAAGTGGATAGGGAGACCTCTAGAGGTAGGCAAGAGAAATGGGCCTGGAAGAGCTCATAAATGGGGCAACTTTAACATAGTGGTGGCAGTGTGTCCGGGCCTATAGTACGCAGAGACAGGCAGGCCAGCTACGCGCCAGGCACAAGCTCTCTGGGAGGGAAGCTGGGTGAATGCCGAATCGCTGCTGTTAAGGCTCAAAGAGCAGGGTTCCAGATTCTAGGATGGCTAAATGGGGTTCTGGCAAAACCAGGTTTCTGGAGGCGGGGCAGACAGCAAGGAACAACATTGTAAAGATTCTGACTTTGGTTCTTGCCCTAGTACACCATGGCTAGTTTTAAGTTGTCAGCGATTTCTAGCGGGCAGACTACCAGGCTGCTCAGAGCCAACCAGCACACCCTGGGTAACGTATTTTTTTGGTCAGTTGTGAGACTTGAACTCAGTGCCTGGGCACTGTCCCTGAGATCTTTTACTCAAGGCTAGTGCTCTATCACTTTGAGGCACGACTCCACTTTTGATTTTCTGGGGGTTAATTGGAGATTGGAGTCTCGCAGACTTTCCTGCCCTGGTTGGTTTTGAAGCACAGTCCTCAGATCTCAGACTCTTAAGTAGCTAGGATTATAGGCATGAGCCAGAAGTGCCTAGCTTTCAGGGCACTCTTAATTGGCTTGACCCATACCTCTACTTTGAGCATTTTGCTGGTTAATTGAAAATAGTTTCATAGACTTTTCTACTCAGGCTGGTTTTGAAACGCAATCCTCAGATTCAGCCTTCCAAGTAGCTGGGATGATAGGCCTGAGCCATTGATGCCCTGCCACACAGAGTGTCTTACGAGGAATGCAGCTCTGGTCTCAGAGTTCTTGTGTGGGGAAGAGGTAAAAGTGGTATACTACCCACTTTTTCCTGAAGCTAGCAGTGGAACAAGTTCCAGCATGAACCCACACACACACAGTGGCTGATCTTGGACAATTTCAGAGTGGAACTTGCCAATCCAGGGGATCTCCTTTTTCTGCCCTATGATTTTCATTCTAGGTGAGGCGTGTTAAGGCAGCCTTGGGTGCTTCTTTTAAGCTGAGGCTTGAATTAAAACCCATCTTGATACCCTCTTCCCGGCTTGCAACCCCAGGTTCTCCTTCATGCTCTATGCTCAGTAGTTGTTGGAGGTGGTGGCAAGTGAGGCTAAGTTTGACCTTCCAGGGAGGAAAGAACATGAAATGGGAGTCTTCCAGTCTTAGGATCATGATTGCCACTGCCTCCACCCCAATACCCTAACCTCCAATCTTTCTCTTTGAATTCCCTTGCCTGGCATGGTGCCTTAGTACATAATAGCAAACTTGTGCTTGTACCAAGTTGTCTTTGCAAAGATGAATCTATGAAGATGAGAGAAAGGTACATGGGCTTTAGCCTGTCCTTTATCATTTGTTTCTTTTCCTTGAGGTGGATGCCCGCAACATTGATGGCAGTACTCCTCTCTGTGATGCCTGTGCTTCAGGCAGCATTGAGTGTGTGAAGCTGTTGCTGTCCTATGGGGCAAAGGTCAACCCTCCTCTGTACACAGCATCCCCATTGCACGAGGCCTGCATGAGTGGTGAGTTGATGTTAGGGACCATTGAAATGATCTAAATGCCAAGCACACAGAGCCCAGAGGGGGATGTTGGCACGGAAAGGATTCATTTAAAAGATATGGGCGCTGGTGGCTCATGCCTAAATCCTAGCTACTCAGGAGGCTGGCTGAGAATCATGTTTCAAAGCCAGCCTGGGCAAGAAAGTTCATGAGACTCTTATCTCCAGTGAACTACCTAACAAACCAGAAGGGATGCTGTGGCTCGAAGTGGTAGAGCACTAGCTTTGAACCAAAAAGCTTCAGGATAGCTCCCAGGCCCTGAGTTCAAGCCCCACAACTGACAAAAATAAGAAAAAAAAAGATTTTGGGGAGGGATTTGGCTTGCACAGAAGTACAAAAATTGGGAAGCAGTAAAAATGACTCAAGTTTCAACGAAATAGCACAGAAGACCCAGAATAAACTCACCTCCCTTTGTCAGTCATGGGTCTTGAACTCTGGGCCTGGGCGCTGTCCCTGAACTCTTCAGCTCAAGGATAGCACTCTACCACTTGAGCCATGGCATCATTTCCAGCCTTCTGGTGGTTAATTGGAGATAAGAGTCTCACGGACATTCCTGCCCGGGCTGACTTTGAATCTCGATCCTCAGATCTCAGCCTCCTGAGTAGTTAGGATTACAGGTGTGAGCCACTGGCGCCCGGCAGCCAACTGATTTTTGACAGAGGAGCCAAGACATGGAGCAAGGGCCACCTCAGGGAGGAAGGACTCCAGTCTTCCTTCCCTAGGTGTTCCCAGGTGGGGTCCCAAATCTTTGATTCTCAGCAAGAGGGTGGATATGACCTATTCCCCACTGTCAGGTGGGCCGGAAGCCTGCACAGTCCTCAGGAAAGGACAGCATCTCTGGCCTTCCCCAGAGCTGTATATGGTTGTAAACCACTCCCTAGATTGGGACATGTCATCAATTCCCCTTTTGTTTCTTGTACCTGAGCACAGGCAGTGAGTCCCAGCTGCCGTTTGCCATGCGTATCGTTTTCAGTGAGCAGATTCATGAATGTTCCCATTCTTTTCCATTTATTTTAAGGGAGTTCTGAATGTGTGAGGCTTCTAATTGATGTTGGGGCCAATCTGGAAGCACACGATTGCCATTTTGGGACCCCTCTGCATGTGGCCTGCGCCCGGGAGCATCTAGACTGTGTCAAAGTGCTGCTCAATGCAGGTGTGTGGTGGTTTACCTGAGCTGTCGTTTACCTGTGTGGGTTGCTTCCCTGTATTGGTATTTATCTGTGTAAATGTCTTACCTATGCTATATCTGGCAAGCAGCTGGCCAGGAGAGACAGATGGGTGATGGTTTGAAGCAGTCTCTCCCACTTACCAGGAAGACAGACCTTAGCCTCAGGTACTCACTTTTTTTTTTTTCAGGTAAGGGGTAGGTTTATTCATCATTCTGGCTGGCACCAGGCCATGTTGGCCCTCCACGCAGCTGGGAAAGGCCTGGGAAAGACGTGGGAAAGAGAGAGAGCCGGGAAAGAGAGAGAGCTGGGAAAGAGGTGGGAAAGAGAAGAGAGCTGGGAGAGAGAGCTGGGCCTGGGCTAGGCCTTATCTAGGGTATGGGCAGAGAAAGGTGTGGCCACATCAACTTCAGATGTGACCTCAGCAGATGCAGATGTGACCTCTTCCAGGTGTGCCAGTTGCCTAGGTAATGCAGGTACTGGGTGGAGACCTTGCAGTGAAGAGGGTGGAGTCTGCTAGCCATCCAGGAGCAGACCTTACATTCCAGCTTTTTAATAATCATGAAATTGGGCACAGATTCTCTGGCTACTTCTTGCTGACAAGGGGCGTTGACATTAGGGGTAAGAGGCTGGAATTTGGTCCCCTCCCAGAGAAGGTGGCGAGCAGCAGCTGTCCCTTGGTGGCGTGAGTCCATGAAGTCTGGAGAAGTCTCATGAGGCATTGAGGGGCTGGGAAAAAAATACTAGAGAGCAAATAAATGGCAAGAGGAAGGACTTGGGGCTGAAAATGTTGGTAGAAATGTCCCTAGCTACTTCTGACATCTGGCGACTAGGTAGAGGAGAAGTCAGGTGACAAAGGCAAGAATATAAATTCCTGTTCAGTTAATAGGTAGACAGGTATAGACATTGGATGGGCAGGCTTCTTACTTCTACTGACCTCCCAGCTCTGGTTAATTTTGAAAGGGCAGGCACAAAGTGGCTGATGTGACATCATCTCCTCTTGTTTCTCTCCATGTTCCCTTGTTCCCCAGACTGGCTGAGTCTAGGTGCTCATTGCTGGGATGGCTTGTCCCAGCTGGTATTCAAGGAGGTTTGAACTCAAGGCCTGGGCACTATCCCTGAACACTTCTGCTCAAGGCTAGCACTCTACCACTTTGAGTTACAGTACCACTTGCAGTGTTTGCTGGTTAGAGATAAGAGTCTTGAGCCATGCTTCCAGGCTGGCTCTTTGCAGGTTAGTTGGGAGATGGAGTCTTAGGGATTTTTCAGCCCGAGCTGGCTTTGAACTGCAGTCTTTACCACAAAAGCCCTTTGTTATTTCCAATTAAAGCAACAAGGAGATCAAGTAGAATAAGTAGAGTTTACCTGGTCTTTATCAAGAATTGCCAACAAATATTCTGAAATGACAAAACTCATTAGATGTGATGAGGATTTTAGCACAGATAGGCCCAGTATTTTAGAACCATGTAGTCAGTAGTAGAATATACAACACAAAACAAAAAAGACAAAACTGAAAACCTAAAATTTTGACAACAATGTGTAGACATCTTTGCTAACAAAGCACATCAGATGGTTGGGCATCAGTTACCAGGGCCTATGAAAAGAACAACTTGTTAGCAAGGCTCCTTAGAATAGATTGATGGAGTAGTAAGCTTGGTGGAAGGTTAAGGGTTAGATGGGGCCAAACCCTTAACCCACCATGTGGTCAAGATGGTGAACTCAACATGGTGAATTTCTGAAAAAATGCAAAGAAAGCCTGAACAAATAGATCAAGCCTACATTGGCTAGCCTTTGAGGGGAACCTACAGGGGGGTTCCTAGAGAATAGGAGAGATTAGGAAAGTTGGACATGAATGGCAGAGAGAGAGCAAAGAGAACAGACTTCTGACCATTTACCATTGCAGTGGCAAAAACTGTCTACATCTGAGAATTGTGTAGGAGAGTCAGTCGAGTGAAGGAGAGCTGACCAGGCAGAAGCGGCATCCCGACTTCCCCCAGAGCCCTGTATAGAGAAATGGCCAAGCCCCAAGCGTCCTCGGCTTCAGAGGTGATTGGCCTTTCAGCTAAAGGCCGTAGGAGCTTTCTGGCGTGGCGCCACATCTGAACAGAGACTGAGCAACAGAGAACTGTAGAGAATAGTTTCACTCACCAGAGTAAAGAAGTGGTGTGGACGTAGATGTGAAGGCCAGCAATGGTATTGATATGCTGTGTCCGCAGCAGACAGATGGGTTCGCAAAAGGCCGTCAGAACTATGGGTATTCCTCAGCAAAAGAGGGAAAAGAGAAAAAAAAAAAAAGAAAAGAAAAAGAAAAAAAACGGAGAGGAATCTCACCTATCCTGACTTTAAGCCCTTCCTGGGTTTCGGCACCATTTATATTAGGTTTTTAAAAAGAGGTTGCCGAGTAAGAACCACACCACGCACATGGTATTCAGGTAAGCGGTAGGTTTATTCAGTAGACCTGCTGGGCCCAGGCCATGTTGGCCTTCCACGCGGCTGGGAAAGGCCTGGGAAAGACCTGGGAAAGAGAAGAGAGCTGGGAAAGAGCTGGGAAAGAGAGGTGGGAAAGAGCTCAGGTTCTCTATAAAGAAAATAAAATCTATGTTGCAGGGCTCCTGGGGATACCTTTAATAAAGCATCCATAAGACCTAATATACGATTAGCGCTTAACAAATATGAATGACTATTGTTGTCGAGTACAGACAGGGTTCACAATACCTACTTAGAGAAAAGGAGTTCTGATAGGGATAGGCATCATTTAGGAGAAAGGAGCATTTGAATCCAGTCATTGTCTGGTCAAGTTTGAAAAGGCACTAGTGGTTCATGCCTGTAATCCTAGCTACTCAGGAGGCTGAGAACTGAGGATCATAGTTCAAAGCCAGCCTGAGCAAGAAAGTGTGAGATTCTTATCTCCAATTAACCACCAGAAAACCAGAAGTGGCACTATGGCTCAAAGTGGTAGAGTATTAGCCTTGAGTGAAAAAGCTCAGTGACAGTGCCCAGGTCCTGAGTTCAAGCCCCATGACTGACAAAAAAAAAAAAAAAAGACAATACAATACAGAGAGCTCTCCAAGGTAGAAGAGTTGTACATATTTAGGATGGAGGCAGTCTTTTTATTCCCTAAATATTTTTGATCCTCAATTAGTTGAATCTATGAATACAGCACTCAGGGACAGGGAAGACTGACTGTAATGCAGAAACCAGGTCCAATTGGGGAAAACAATGGAGAACATTTGCAAGTTCAGGTAACAAAGGTGGGAAGCTCAGTAGCCAACCTCATGGCTCAACAATGTCACAGAACCCTCTATGCTTTTGAATTTTGCAATTGTGATTCACTCCATGTTAGCTATTCTCTAGGGCAGTGGTCAGTGCTTATAGCAGATTCAGACTTAAAATCCAGACACTTGGGATTGTAGACATGGCTCAGGCGGTTGAGCACCAGCCAGTGAGTGAGAAGTATCAGATAACAAGTTTGAATCCCAGTTTTGGACCCCCCAAAAATCCAAACACTTCACTGGGTGCTAATAGCTTATGCCTATAATCCTAGCTACTCAGGAGGATCTTGGTTTGAAGCTAGTCCAGACAGACAAATCCCTAAGATCCTATCTCTAATTAACTAGCAAAAAAGCCAGAAAGGGAGGTGTGGTTCAAGTGGGAGAGTACCAGTACCAGTTGTGAGTGAAAAATCCAAGAGAGGGTGCTCCAAGGCCGTGAGTTCAAGCAGTGGTACTGACACTAAATAAATAATCCAAACATTTACTTGTTCTTCCCAATGCCTCCAACATACCTACCATAATGTTCTACTGACCCAAACTTGATCCCATATCCAAAGCTGAACAGATCCCCTCGGGCTAAAACTCTGCCAATTTCTGATTTCTCTTGATTATTTAAACCAGTTACTAAAGTAGAGAAAGCAGGTTGGATACATTAGGGCCAGTCCTAGAGCTGAGGTCTATTTACTCCTTGCCAATATCCCTATTCCACATTGCCAGATTGCACATTGCTGAGGGAGAGCTGGAAATGTATAGTATAGCCTTTTACAAGGTCTTGTTGAAGCTGGTAGCTCTACGTATAACTTGATGGCTAAGTACTTTACTTTCAGGAGTCCTTGGATGATGAACTAGATTAGCTTCTTCTTTTCCTTAGAATTACTTTTTTTAAAAAATTGTGTAACAGGGCTGGGAAGGTGGCTCAGTGGTAGAGCACTTGCCTTGCATTCCTGAGGCCCTGGGTTCGATTCCTCAGCACCACATAAGCAAAAAGAAAAAAAGCTGGAAGTGGTACTATGGCTCAAGTGGTAGAGCACTAGCCTTGAGCTGAAGAGCTGAGGGGCAGTGCCCAGGCCCAGAGTTCAGGCCCCACGACTGGACCCTCCCCCAAAAAATTGTGTAACATTTCAAACCCACAGAGAAGTAGTAAGAAGCAATAGATTATTCCTATTTATTTACAAATGGATTGTGTGTGTGTGCATGTGTGTGCACGCACACACATACACATACACCAGTACTGGGGCTTGAACTCAGGGCCTGGGTGCTGTGCTGTCCCTGAGCTTCTTTTGCTCACGGCTAGCACTCTACCACTTGAGCTACAGCTCCACTTCTGGCTTTTTAGTAGTTAATTGGAGATAAGAGCCTCATGGACTTTCTTGCCCTGGCTGGCTTCAAACCATGATTCTCAGATCTCAGCCTCCTGAGTAGCTAGATTATTGGCATGAGCCAGCAGTGCCTGGCTTCACAAATGGATTTTTATAGAAGTAATGATTCTGCATTGTTGGGCTTGGGTCACAGTCCTGCTGGAAAACCTAAGGAGAGCCAAGCTCCAGGGAATGGAGAAAAGATGCATCAGGTCCTTGTACATGTGATTTTAGTACACTGCTCAAGTCCAAGCCAGTTTTTGTCCTGGCTCCCCAAGTTCTGTTGTTGGTGATACATGTTCTCTACTTGACCTTCAGGAGCCAATGTGAATGCAGCCAAACTTCATGAGACTGCCCTTCATCATGCAGCCAAGGTGAAGAATGTTGACCTCATTGAGATGCTCATTGAGTTTGGAGGCAACATCTACGCCCGCGACAACAGGGGGAAGAAACCATCCGACTACACATGGAGCAGCAGTGCCCCAGCCAAGTGCTTTGAGTATTATGAAAGTGAGTTGGGCTCCTTTGTGTACATAGTCCTGTGTCCGCCAGGCCGCCAGGCTCAGCCACCCCCCCCCCCCCCCGCCCCTCGCCCCCTCCCCCCCAGCTTGCTCGTTCTTCTGGAACTCCCTGTGATGGCTTAGTGTTTAAGCCTCAGCTCCGATCTTTTGCCACTGAAGGATGTTGTGGGTAGGAGCTCTTTTGTATAAGTAAAGGGCTCTTCTTGGGATCCCTGTGGCTTCAGCTTCAACATCACAGGGCCAAGGAGACCTCATGCTTGGAGTAGCAGGCAGCAGCCACTACCACCCGCTCTAGTACAAACTTTCCACTTGTGCCTTGTTCGGCTGAATGTCTGACAAATGATTCTCCCCGTCCTAGATGAGTTTCTGTGGTTCATAAAACAAAAACAAAACAAATACCACCATTTAAAAGCCATAAAACCTACAAAATTAAATTTCCATGGACATTACAAGAATTCTGTTTCCTGCTCTTCCTTCCTCCAATCACCCTTCTGTTGACCTTTCAGAGGTCTCCTCCTGGTCCCATCCTAACTGCAGGGTAAAGGGAATCTTTTTCCACTTGCACCCTCAGATCCATCAGCTGTGCTCCTGCCTAAAACTAACTTCCCTTACTCTTTGATTCCCTTCTTCTAGAGACACCTCTGACTTTATCTCAGCTCTGCAGAGTGACCTTGAGGAAGGCAACTGGAGTTCGAGGGCTGGAGAAAATCGCCAAGTTAAACATCCCTCCCCGGCTCATCGACTACCTTTCCTACAACTGAGCTGTAGGAAGAGGGCCGGGCAGACTGATCACTCACCTAGCCTCAGGAGGCCGGTGTCCTGGGTCACGGTTGTGGATGTGACCCTGTGCTATTTTTCTGGAACTGATGCTGTCACTCCAGCATAGGCGTAACCCCTCAATTTTCTGCTTTTCACTGACTTCCCTCTAAGGAATGGTCAGGACAGATGTCAGGGAGCCAGGCTGGAGCCTGAGGGGGCACGGTGGTTGAGTTTTGTATGTTTGGGTGTCATGCTGCAGAAATACGAGGTCTCAGTCATGCGTGGCCTGCAATGGCCACGCTGTGGACATTCTGCTATCTAGGCACCCTTTCTGAGATACCAGTCAGCACTTTCTAAGGCCTACCTGCACTCAGGTGGACCATCACTCAGGGGCTTTATACGGGTCATACCGAGGAAAGCTCAGACTTTGTATCCCCGCTGCTAGAAGTGTTTCTCCAGTATTAGCTTGCATACAAAGTTATATAGGATATAGCTCCATACAGTAATACTAAGATTTGTCAATGAGTGTATAGTCATTTCCAATGTAAAGGGCTATTAGAAGACTCTTTAGAGCTTGCTTTTCATCTGTTTCTACAGTTACCAAATTCTTCACCATCCCTTTTTTTTTTCCTCCTTCTAATTCCTTGAAGCTATAAAACTAGTAGAAGTGGTTAGGAGTACCCATTGGGCATTAACATTCAGTTCTCCACTCATTTTTCAGATTGTTAAGAATATTTATCATGCAAGGTATTGGTTCAGGGCTTTGACCTGAACCAGAATGAGATCCATCAGCCAGGAAAAGGCAGAATGAGGAAATGTTTTGCAGTGTCTTCTTGTAGTCATAAAACTGTTCTTTCCCCTTGCAGGCCACAAGGTGAAATATAATAACAAGTCTTGTATTCATATTGGCTTTGCCTAATATCTTGTATCTTAATTTAAAAACACATATACAGCAAGGAGTTAGAGGATTTTGCGTAATTAGTCATCTTCTACTGGGAAGAAGATTCGCTCCCTTTCCAATGTAATCTTAGATCTAAACTCTAAAAAAAAAGAATGTTCCTGCATGTAATAATAATATTTTTAAAAAGCATTGGTCTGCCTCGTTCATTTTAGTAATAGCAACTTGACTCTAACAATGAAATCTGACAACATCTCTATCCAATATATCTCTAAGAATCAGGTCCCACAACCTTAATACTCAATAAAAATTGTTGAATGTAGCTCATCCTTGTGTTTACATGACCCTTTTATTAAGATCAGAAACACTGGAGCAGACTCCGGTGAGAGAAGTAATTTCCTTTCAAGATACCAGATGAGGAACATTTTAGGTCTTTCTCTGTTCTGAGGCAGAGCTGTGATGATAGACAGGCTTCTTTGATCCTTTGGGCCTGGATTGGTACAGTTGCAAAACTGACATAACAGGTCAGACAGAGACCATTAAAAAGATCTTGACCAACTTTTCACTCCAAGTGAGGAAATGAGTTTCCACAAATTCATAGATTGTCATGAGACTGAAGCTAGGTGATTAAAGGATCTTTTAGAAAGTATAATGTATTCCTCAAGTATAAAAGTTATGTGGTTCCCTGTTTGGATTTGTTGATGGTTGTAGACCTTACACCTATATAAACTGTTCTCTCTCTGTGTTGGCCTGGTACCATGTCTTTCAGAAGTATTATCAGAACACTTCCCAGTTTATGTTTTGAAACTCAGTGTGCAGTTTACAGTGTTGGAGAAGGCCTTTGCAACACATACAAAAAGTAACTGATAATCAAGATATAAAAAGATCTTTTTGTCAACCATTAAGAAAAAGCTAGGGCTGTGAAGGAGGCTCCGTGCTTGCCTTGCATGCATGAGGCCCTGGGTTTGATTCCTCAGCACCACATAAGCAGAAAAAGCCAGAAGTGGTGCTGTGGCTCAAGTTGTAGTGGGCTAGCCTTGAGCTGAAAAGCTGAGGGACAGCACCCAGGCCCAGAGTTCAGGCCCCACAACTGACCAAAAAAAAAGAAAAAGCTAATACCTGGGCACTTAAGAGACTGAAGCAGGAGGGTCATGAAATGGAGGCAGCCTGGGCTACATTATGAGAAGGAGGAAGAGGAGGAGGAAGAAGAGGAGAAAAAAGAGAAGAGGGAGGAGAAAGAAAGAAGGAAAGAGGAAAGGAAACAAAGAAGTATTATATACATATTTCAGTATTTCATTTTTCATGAAAATTTAATTCAGAGAGGAGCAACAATGGGGAAAGAGCATTGTCAAAATGAATTCTGCTTAAAAATTCTTCTTATCCTTTGAGTGTTGGTACCTTTTGGGGGTCTACTTTTTTTAGACAAACTAGACCTTAAAAGCCCTAGACTGGGGCTGGGAAGGTGGCTCAGTGGTAGAGGGCTTGTCTCGCATGCGTGAGGCCCTGGGTTCCATTACTCAGCACCACATAAATAGAAAAAGTCAGAAGTGGTGCTGTGGCTCAAGTGGTAGAGCGCTAGCCTTGAGCTGAAGAGCTGAGGGACAGTGCCCAGGCCCAGAGTTCAAGCCCTCAGAGTTAAAGCTTCACCACTGACCAAAACAAACAACAACAAAAAAAGCCCTAGATTAAGCTGGGTGCTGGTGGCTCATGCCTGAAATCTTAGCTACTCTCGAGGCTGAGATCTGAGAATTGTGGTTTGAAGCCAGCTGGGACAGAAAAGTCCCCGTGAGGCTTTTATCTCCAATTAACCACTCAAAAGCCAAAAGTGGCACTGTGGCCCAAGTGGTAGAGCAACTAGCCTTGAGCATAAACAGGCTCAGGGACAGCACCCACGTTCTGAGTTCAAGCCCCACAACTGACCAAAAAGAAAAAAAAAAGCCCTAGATTATTCTCTGGTTCATGACACTATCTTCACCTCCACTGAAGGAAAGTGCTAGATAAAATGCCTTGATTGAACCTCATCTGCTCTGGCATGGCTCCTCTAGCCGAGTTGTGGATGAGCCTTATGGGTATGACTGGCTAGACTCCAGTTTTAATCCCTTTGAAGGAATCAAAACAGTGCCTCTAAAATAGGTACCATCTTGCCAGCTGCATCAGCTGTCTCCAGCCTGTGCTGGGCTTTCTGCCTGGCCACTCTGGTCCCAAGTGCTACTTGTCCTCTGTAGCTAGGATGTAGGAAGTGATGAGGGAGGAAGGAAGGGACTCCAGGGAGATCCTGGCAGTAGCTGTCCATCACTAGGTTCCTTCCTGGTAGTCTCTTGGGGGAGGAAATGGCATCTTGTCTCGTACCATAGAGATATACCTGTGCTCTTACCTCCAACATCTAGATCTGCAGAGAACTTGCAAGTCATTTAGGGCAAAAAGATTTGTTTTTGCAGGTCTGCTTCCTCCTTGGGTGACTGACTGTCAGGAAGATTGCTCGTGCTTGCTTCCCAAGGACAACACCATTTTCCTCTAAGCAGTGGAGTTCTTTCATTCATGAAAGTGAACTAAAACTGCCTCTGAGAACAAAGCCCCTCAGCTTGCTCAGATTGCAAGCAGCTGAGCTACCCCACAGACGAAAGCAGCACCACAAAAGTCCTGAGAGGCTGTGGTTTGTGCCTACGCCCTCTGGGCGGGCCTGTTCTCCCTTGGATAACCTGGCAAATATTTCCAGACCCGGGAATCTGTGCCTTTTTTCCTCCACCGTGTACCAGATAGCATTGATGCCTAGGTTCCATGATGCCGGCATGAAACTCTCGTGATCTCTCAGAATTTGAATAAAAATATGTCTGAAGTTGGCCCAACTTAAACGGGGTATCTCCGAAACATTTATAAGCTTATTACTTCCAAACTGAATAGATTCATGGTCTCTTCCCTCCCCCCCCACCTCTTCCTTTTTCTTCCCCTTCCCCTTCCCCCTCTCCCTCCTTCCTATCCCATCTGATTTAAAGAACATTTACTTCCCAGCAACTGCTCTCCAGGTGTGTGGGTTTTGTGAACCCAGATTTTAAAGCAGAGGAGAATTTACTCCTAATCTCTGGGCCAGGATGCTAGTTTAGTTATTTGGCCTGAATGATAGGTAATCAAGAAAGACAATCCCCACCACTTCATATGTTGACCCAAATACTGAAGCTCATTCTGATGTGTTATGGACAGAGGGCCGGGCAAGGAAAGACGCAGTCTTTACTCATTCCTTGGCCCACTTGCCTATCCATCCCTCCTCATATTTTGTTTTTCATTGTTACCAGCTTTTCTGTTTTAGATTCTCTGCTGGGTACTAATGGGTATGAAAACAGATCTGGACCTGAGGGAATTTATAATCAGACCCACAGGCCTAGGCAGGCATAAGAACCAATATTATCTGATGACTTGAAGGTTAGATAACGATCATGATCTAATTTCATAGGCTGGGATCCTTTCTCCCCAGTATGACAGTATGAGTAGATGAAGTCTTAAGGAGAGATGAGGTCAGTAGGGAAAGAGTTCTGGGTAGGATTAGTACCCTTATAAAGGAGGCTGCAGAGACTGCCTTACCCCAGCTACCTTGAGAGAATGCATTAAGAAGATCAGGGTCAAATAGACCTAATGTAAGTCATACTCTTTGATTTACCAGTGGAGAAATTCAGAATGGACATGAAACTTTCCAAAGCCATCTAATCTAATCCAGTACTTTTTTATTTTTGTCAGTCATGGGGCTTGAACTCAGGTTCTGGGTGCTGTCCCTGAGTTTTTCTGTTCAAGACTAGTGCTCTTTGAGCTATTACATCACTTCTGGTTTTCTGGTTGATTAATTGGAGGTAAGAGTCTCATAGACTTTCCTGCCTGGGGTTGGCTTTGAACTGTGAGCCTTAGATCTCAGCCTCCTGAGTAGCTAGGATTACAGATGTGAGCCACCAGTGACCAGCTCAGGGTTTTTGTTTTGTTTTGTTTTTTTGTTGTCATTTGGTTGTGGGGCTTAAACTCAGGGCCTGGGTGTTGTCCCTGAGCTCTTCTGCTTAAGACTAGCACTCTACCACTTTGAAACACAGCAACTCTTCTGTTTTTGAGTGGTTAATTTGAGATAAGAGTCCATGGGAGGGGGGAGTTGTGGAGGTGGGAGGGAAGGGATGATAGGGGAGAAACAAGGGATGGGAGGGGGAGGCAATACTCCATAGGAAATGTACCCATTACCTTGCTCATGTAACTGTAACCCCTCTGTACAGTATTTTTTTATTGTGAAAATACTGTACAGAAGGGTTACAATTACATGGGCAAGATAATGAGTACATTTCTTATCAAGCATTGTAGCCTCCTCCTTTGTTTCCCCTTCCCATCCCTTCCCATCCTCCCCCTGCCCCCCCCAATCCTCCCCGCTCCCCCCCCCTGTACAGTATTTTTATAATTAAAAAAAAGTACAAAAAAGAAAAAAAAGTCTCATGAGGACTTTTCTTTCTGCCCAGGCTGGCTTCAAACTGCAATCCTCAGATCTCAGCCCCCTGTGTAGCTAGGATTATAGGCATGAGACACTGGTGCCTGGTTTTTGTTTTTGATTTTAAATTTGTAGCATGCATCAGAGTAATAGGGAGTGCTTGTCAAAAATGTAGAATGCTGGATTTTATCCCCAGAATTTCTAGTTAACTTTCAAGTGAGACTCAAGAATCTGCATTTCTAGTAGGTTCCAGGAGGTGCTGGTAGAGCCAGAGGGAGGGGGACATGTTGGGAGGAACTACAGAATGAAAAACCACTGTTTTAATCCACTACTCCATTGTCCTCTGTGCTATCCTCTTTCATTTTCCTTTCTTGGCTCAGTTTAGTTCATGGTCCTTGAAGTATCATGTTTTTAAGGAACCCTCTTGTACTCTTACGGGATTTAGGGTGTTAGCTCACAGAAGAGACCTATTTTCTATTGTGAATTCTACTCTGCTGTGTGGAGAAATCGCTCCTACCTAGATTTCTTAAGTCTGAGTCCCTAGAAAGGTGTTTTGCAGATTTTAGCTCCCAAGGATCTTACTGTGTTTCTTTCTGCCCTCCCTTCTTAGACTTCTAGTGTTAGCCAAAGCATTTGATCCTTGGTAACTGAACATTGTAATTATATATACTTTGTGCTCATAGACAACAAACACTGGTTACCTCAGACCAGGTGGAAGTCATTATTTTCTTCCTGATGTTCC